AGGAAAGACCGGCGGGGGGGGGGGAAGAGATGTCTCCCTCCTCCGACGACTGAAGTCCGCAGCTGCGATCGGCTTCTTTTATTCAATAAATCCGTACGTTTTCGTGGCTTTGACGGCCACACAGTTTTAAAGGGGGGGGGCGTCTTCGAGAAGAGGATCATGTAAATCTGTTTTTTTTCCTCCCCCCAAAAAATATAATCTAAAAGCATCTCTGGGGAGGGCGGGAAGGAAAATGGGGGATGCTGCAGACATCAAGGAGATGAGAAAGACGTTCATTGTCCCTGCCATCAAACCGTTTGATCATTATGACTTTGCCCGAGCGAAAATCGCCTGTAATCTAGCGTGGCTGGTGGCCAAAGCCTTTGGGACAGGTAGGTGGCCCGCCTCTTGTAACCCCGTTTTGTCAGTGGGGGTGGTGGTGGTGAGGATTTTGGTTTTTGGCTTGGTTCTATTTCTGGTTTGTGTGTGCGAATCATCTGTCCGCGGAGGAAATGTAAAAGGGATGCACCAGGGTGGGGAGATGTACCCAGGATCAATAGCTAGGGACTGATTTTTAAATTGTTATCTGGTATGTGTTCGGCACTGTCTGAAACAGCAATTTGTCTTTCAATTAATTCTTGCAATACAGATTTTTACAGTGTGCTGTGTGTAGGTGGTTCTGGTCGTCCCTTCCCCCAGGCTTTTCCCACCTTCCTTCTCCATCATAAATTAGACACTGCTTTTCCATTTAGGAGCAGGCACAAAGGGCAAGAGATATCTGTGCTGCCTGTTAGGTTTTGACATATGGGGTAGCCTGCAGCCATTTGGGTAGTGTAAAGGAAGAGAGGTTCCTGAAAGAAGGGCTTTTCATGTCACTTGTCACCCTTCACAATCCAGAAGGGTTTTCCCCTTGTCAGAATGCATAAAGAGAATTCCTTGAATGCGCTCTAAGAGGTGAGGGACTGCCCTGCTGCTTACGATCTCCTAGGCCTTACAGAGAACAAACCTTGTTCAGCAGTACATATGTTAGCCCCTTGTTTATTCAGCCTGGGCCCAGATTTGGAAAAACATAATTAAAAAAGAAAGCTTCTTTAATGCATAGTATGTAAATATGAGGTTGTGAAGTTGTGATCCAAAAGGTTGTGCCTCATTTTCTCTGAAGAATAACAGGAAAAGGTCCTTTTCCTACTTGCAATTCTGCAAGGGTTGCAGTTGAAAACAGGGCATTGTTATACATTGTAACAGGCAAAAATGTGCAGTACAGTATCTGTTCTTAGACTGTCCCTGAACAGGTCACACAGAAACTGTCAGTAACACAAGGTTTTAAGTTGTCTCTGCCGAGTTTAATGTCACCTATCTCTGCTGGAAGTTATTCAGATTGCTGTGAAAATGGATTAAAGCAATAGCAGATTTTATACCCACCCATTAAAATAAAGTGGCTGTTCATTACTTTTAAAAAATGGAGAAGCTGTATATTATTGTTGCTTCCAGACCTTTGCAAAACAGTGATTGTTTATTTTGTTTGTTTTGATCCCCAGTTATTGCAGAAACACTGATGCACTGTAGTTGGAGAAACCTAATTGTGGGAAATGTTAGAAACAGCATAGCATTATTATTCTGCAAGTATAATAATGATCATGTTTTACTCAACACATTATGATCATATTGAAATTCAGTATTATTTGGTAAACAAGAGAAACAGCATTCCTGCATTTTAAGCATTTAATCACCAAGAATACAATAATAAGTTATAGAGGAGCACATAAGTGACGAGTTTCAATGAATGAACAAACCCCCAGACTGCAGTCCTGTGGACTCTGAAGTCACAGTGAACTCAATGGAACTTATTTGAGCAAACTTGCATATACGATCATTCTGAAGAAAGGTACACTTTCTTCTAAACATGTGAAAAAATAGTGGCCTGAGAAAATACAAAAATTGAAGTCTGTGGTGTGTGATATCTACCAAGATACTAACATTTTACTACGTGCAGCAACAACATACAGGATAATATGTAGCACTGAAGTACAGTACTAAAAGTTGCAAACAGTTGTGATCAGGTTCAAATATTTAATGTTGTGAGCCAAAAGGAAAGGAAACAGAAAGGAAGAGACATAACATGTAAGATTGTAGTATCTTGTCCAACTTACATGAAGCAGAATCTGGAAGATTTGCATTGGGCAGACCCTTCCTTTCTATTTATTCTTCAGAGAAGCAACATTTATTACAGTGTTATTGGCTTGTATGTTATGTCAGCCATACTCAGTTGTTTCCAGCTAATAGGCTGAGTGGCTGATTATTGGAGCCATCGGTTGCCCGTGGTCTAAGCAAGTTGAGGCTTAACCTGAACATTTGGGTTGTGATCTCCTCTTTGCCAAGACTGTGAGCCACCCCTGCTTTGAGTCATCCTTTACTTCATCCTTGAATTAGAACAGCTGCTGTGCATGAAGTTGCTCGTATTGTTCCATCAATCATTTATTTTTTATTTAAATTAATCCTTTCTTTCCTCCAGTGACTTCAGGTTGACAGACATGGTTTCCCACCTTGTTACTTTATCCATAGAGTAACCCTGTGAGGAAGGTTGTAATGAGAGAGCATGACTGATCCAGGGTCATGTAGTGGGTTTTATGTCTTAGGGCACTGGTTCTTAACCTTTGTTACTCAGATGTTTTTGGACTGCAACTCCCAGAAGCCTTCACCATCAGCTGTGCTGGCTGGGGAACTTGCATATCAATTTCTTAAATCTCAGTCCAGCACTTTTGCTAGTGCTGCCTGCCTTGTCTTGTTCCATTGTTTATACAGTCTGAAGATCTGTGCCTGCCTTGTCTTGTTCCATTGTTTATATAGTCTGAACTGAAGATCTCTAATCTTGATTGTTTTATTGGAATTGAAAAGTCCAATGTCTTATTATTATTCTTTTTGATACCTAAGAAAAACTGTTTGCCTCTGTAGCTGTGGTCTCAAACATTTCATGAGGTATCAGCTCTTTGGGGGGTTCCGTTTATCCCACTGCCTTTTTTCATGTTCACTGCCCTTAGCAGGACATAGAGACTAACCCTCTAAGTCTCATCTGTAGGGCTGCTGTTGCATGCCACTGCATCTATCCACAAAAGCTTATTCCATAATTAATTTGTGGGATAGGATGACCTGTATTCTTCTCATAAGATGCACATATTGGTAGTGATGTGCTTTGTCTGCTAAAGGCAGCTTTACATTTAAAACACTTTGCCCCATCCTGTTTAAAGAATTGAAGTCATGACCTTGGTTTGAACATCCACTCAAGATGTCAGTGTGCTGAGTTGGGGCCATGGTAAGAATTTTAGTGCTTTTAACAATTACCAAGCTTTTTCTGATGTATACATTTGTTGCAATTGATAAAGTGAGCTGTTTTGACAAAAACTTAAAACACTATAGTCTTTAAGGTACTGTACTATGGGAATATTCATTGTATTCATTTAAAAAGCCATGGCAGGTTTATGCATTTAGATTGTGTTGATGAATTTCTGCCAGATGCACCGAAAGGGTCTCTGAAGCCTTCTTTTCTCTCCATCATATGGGCTCAGAAGTCAGCATTATTTCTGCTGTTCCACATTTTATCTTCTGCTTTCACAACTCTGGTTGTTTAATTAACTGGAAGCTCATCACCTGTGACTTTTAGTGTGCAATCGGACAGTGTTGGAAAGGGTTGCTTCACTGGGGGTGATCTTTAAAGTGACCCTCCTGAGCACATACAATCCAGTCCCAATTGCTCCATCACAACTCCAGAAAGAAAGAAAGAAAGAAAGAAAGAGAGAAAGAGAGAAAGAGAGAAAGAGAGAGAAAGAAAGAAAGAGAGAGAGAAAGAGAGAAAGAGAGAAAGAAAGAAAGAAAGAAAGAAAGAAAGAAAGAAAGAGTAGCCTTGCTGGTGGTCCAAAAAGGACTGGTCTGGACATGGAGCAAGATTGGGCTGGCTCGTGATCATACATTGTTTGGTCACTGGAAAATAGAGCAAACCAGACTGTGCTATAGGCTATTCAAAAAACAAATTAAATCACCATCTGATCACACCCTTAAATTAATACAGCTCTTGAAATGGGCCTTCTCTTGAGCTGCTCCTTTCTTGCAGTGTGCATTTCTTAAAGCCTGATTATTAATTGCATTCTTCAAGGGTTTTTTTTGGCCCTCCAGATGTTGAACATCAGTTCCCATCACCCCTCATTATTGCCAGGCTGGTTGATACTGTTTGGTACTGGCATTGAAAAACATCTGTAGAGCTACAGGTTAGCCACCACTGGTGGTTTGAAACAGTCCTGTGTAGGGTAATAAGAATTATTTTCTTATCGCAGACGAGGAGAGAGCTGAGACAAAGATTACCTATTTGTTTCACAGCAGAGATGAGATCTGATGGAGTGGCTTCCAGGTTAACAAGATCAATCTTGCTCTATCAGCAGTTTGGTTACAATCATAATCTATACATGTTTACTTGGAAATGAATGCTATTTTGTATAATGATGCCTTGAAGAGATAATGGCTGATACATTATTTATATTCAAAACAAGCTATGATTTTGTAGTGTTCGTCTTTCTTTATACGTTGCAAATATGTTTCATCCCATAATCATTCCATAATCCAGCATTCTAAGAACATAGTTATTTCCATATGTATAAGTGCTGAAGGAAAGTGCAGTTGCCATTGGCTTTGTGCAATATTCGCTCAGGCCTCTTATTTCTCTAGTAATGAAATGAATGTATGTTGGTCAAATGCAGATTGCTAAACAGAGTGAATAGGTTTAATGGCTCCGTTCCACCAAGAGATTAGTGTTACTAAAGATGATTGGATTTGGATGTATATTTCTTGAAGATTTTGACTCAACTGCCATTGGTTCACTGTTCTTTAGAAATAATCCCTCTTTGTGTTGGAACAAAAGGTACATTTTCAGCTAACTCTTCCCCAACCTGGTTAGAGAGGGACACCCATTGGGTGGAGGTGATGGGCATTGTGGTCAAGGTATCTTTATGATGTCAAAGTGGGGGGAACACTGGTGTGCAAAATGAGTGTGTTTTAAAAGTTGAATATTTGTATCAAGGTGTTTGAGTTGAATATAGATGGTGCTCAACTACAGTTCCATAAGATTCACCCTACTGACTACTGGGAACTGAGGTACAACAACACCTGGAGACTCAAGGTTGGGAACCACAGAAATGCATACATGCAGTAATAAAATGTATGTTGGGTGCAGAGTTTGTGTTTTAAAAAAACTGTCTAGAACAGCAATGGCGAACTTATGGCATGCGTGCCACAGCTGGCATGCGGAATCCTTTCTGCCAGCACGTGAGCCATAGGTTGCCAGATCGCTACTCCCCCCTGTGCACCCAAACCTGCGAAGGCGGCTACAGCTGCAGTGCTGGCGCTT